CTCCGCCCCCGTCCCGATATTTTAGGCTTGTAATCTGGTCACCCTATTTAGTAGTAAGAACCTTCCTTCCTATGTTGTTTACACAGTCAAACAATGTCATCTTAACTGTCAATGTAAGCTTCCTCCACGTTGTCCAGTCCTTACAAGGCAACTTTAGTTTGATAAGCAGAAAAGGAGATTAGTCTTCTAAGGGCACCTTTGGGCCACGCTTCAGAGGACGGGAGTCTTGGTTTTTAGCAGGGTAGAAATTTTATTCACAATAACCTGTAAACCTGGGATTGCAATTAATGTGTGCAGGCCCCTATAACGCCGCATCGTGCTCTACAGTTACCTAAACTACCGTCCCTGCGCTGAGGGGCCTACAGGGCGAGGCCCCAGTTCTGCAAAGCCCCACCGAGCGGCGCTCTGCGGCAGGGGCCCCGGAACCGGGGGCCCCAGGGCCCCATCAGTTCACCCGCCGTAAGGGGGTGGGGAAGTACCGAGCAGGGGGCGGGGTCTTGGGGGGGAAGAGGCGGTGCAGGGGCGGGGTCTCGGTTGCGGCTCCGGTGGCCCCCGCACCTTGAGGGAGCTTCCGCCGCTCCTGGCTGTGCGGGGCCCACCCCGGGTAAGGGCAGTTTCGCTCACAGACCCCCAGGAAGCCCTTCCCCTGCCCAGGTGGCGGATTCCCGCCTCGGCGGTGCAATCCAGGCTGGGCTGGGGCGAGTGGCTGAGCCCCTTCCTGCGGCAGAGGGGCCAGGCAGGGCGGCTCTGCCCCCCGGTGAGCCCCGGCTTGGGCGAGGGGGCTGGGGCTGGCGGGCGACTCACAGTTGGGCGATGCCCGCCTTGCGCACGGCGGTGGAGATGGCCTTGACGGCGGTGCAGACCGCGTTGAGCAGCTGGGTGAACTCCCCGGTGCCCTGGGCCCGCCTCCCCTCCTCCATCACGAAGCGGGTCAGGGTGACGACGTTGGTGTCGAAGGGGGACCGGTCCGTCATGGTGGCGGCAGCTGCGGGGGCCGGGCTGGGAGACTGACCGACCGCCACGGAGCCGCAGCGAGACCCACACGCCGCCCCCTCCGCTGCCGCCCGGGAACTTCACCAGCTGCGGGGAGAGGGAGTGACCCGGCCCGGACCTATCGGCAGGCGGGGTGGGGAGCAGCCGGCCCCCGGGATCCGCCCCCAAACCCGGTCTGCTTCCCTGTTACCCCTTCCCCACATCCTTCTCTCAGCCCCGCCCCCTGCTCCTTTTACCCCTTAGCTCCGCCCCCAGGACCCGCCTCCCTCCGCCCCCAAACCCCGGCTGCTTCCTCGTCACCCTCTTCCCGACATCCCTCTGTAAATACACTACAGTAAATAAAAATTATCTGAAACATGCTGATTTCTTTCCCTAGACCTGAAGAAGAGTGAAAGCTCGAAAGCTTGTACCTTGCACCAGCAGAAGTTGGTTCAATAAAAGGTATTACCTCCTCTACCTTGTCTTTCTTAAAATTAAGGACATATTTAAGTGCTCTGCTGAATGCGGATCTAATTAAGCATATGTTTAAATGCTGAATGGGAGCCATCGTCTGTGCCTCACACATCTTTCATCTTCAAGATCTGGGAGCTGACATTCATTCACCAGGACAGGCAGGGAACTTCAGAATCATATAGTATAGAAAAAAGCAATGATATTCACTGATGGGTCGGGTTTATGGTGTTTTTTCCTAATGGTAGTGGAAGCAATGAAAGGGATTAAGTGGTGGAGCAAAGACTCATTAGGCAGGTGTCAGGTTTGGCTTCCTTTCCTATATAGATGGCATCTAAGATAAACTACTTTGACCTGAATAGAAAACACGCTGTTTTTTCCTCCTGGCTGGTCTTTAAAGCAAACTGAGCAACCATGTAGGGCACTAACATTTTGGGCTAGCAACATTTTAGGAGAGATCAACCTTTGCCATCAGCTGGACAGCTGGTTCACTCAGTTACTTTTATCCCCATTGCTCCATTCCAAGGATGTCTTGAACTTTCATGTTAAGGGCTAAATGAAAAGATTTCAATATAGCTTGAGAGCTAAAAGCCTCAACAATTGTAGAGCTGAGTAAAGAGCTGTATGGAAATGAAATCATAAAGAAATATGAAGAGTAGATGGGGAGTGGAAGAGACAGGAAGAATGTATGACAAAAATCATGAGGGTGAAGAAAGAGGCTTGGGGTGCCAGTATAGTTCAGTGAATGATTTTTTGATTTACCTCTTTGGAAACAACAAATCAGGTCTCCCATATGTTTGTTGGCCTGGAACTCTCTTTCCATTCCTCTTTTCTTTGTCCTAGCTTCCTTCCTCTCCCCCTGAATGGAGTGAAATCTGTCTTCTGGCCAGCCACCCTTCCCTGGAACCTGTGCTTTGGGGATGGGACCTAGAGAATGGGTTCTTCATACCAGATGGCTTCTTTGAGCAGTATAACTCCTTTCAGAGTTGCAGAACTCCATGAAATGTAATGCCTGAGTTGACTACCTGTCTAACTTACTTTTAATACCATCTCTGGTTTGTTTGAGCTGCAAGGCCTGATATTTGATTGCTGAATATGGTTCTTGATCATAGCCAGAATAAGTTGATCTGGTGAATGCTTAATGATTGGCCACAGTTCTGAAAAGGGATGGGTCTTAAAAATCCTGCCTTGTTGACAGTATAACTTAACAGAACCCCCCACATGCACTAGAGCTGCATTTGCAGCTCTTATAGATGTAGCTCAGAGAATAATACTTCCAGCCTGATTAAGAGACTAGTTGATTCAGTAGGTGAAACAAGCTTTGTTCCCCAAATAAACTGCAAAACTAACCTACCGAAATACCATTATTGAAGGTACTCCTGTGCCATCATGATGTCAAATTACTACACAAACTGCTGATACCCAGTAAAAAGGAAAAGGTAAGAAATTAAACAGTTTAAGGCTATGTCTACACTAGCACTTTTGTCGGTCAGGAGTGTGAAACCCTCCTCCCCCTGACTGACAAAAGTTTCACCGACAAAAATGCTGGTGTGAACAGCACTGTGTTGTGGGAGAGCATCTCTCACTGGCATAGAGCAGCTACACAGGAGACCTTACAGCGGCACAGCTGCAGCAGTACAGGTCCCTCAAATAATGGGTGATATGTGTATATAGACACCTATCAGCCGTAGGCTCAAAGGAGAAATTTTGTATATAGTCATGTTGACACTACTAACAATTTTTTTTAAATATCAACAGTGCCACCTTAAGATGAATCTGGCACTTTATCATTTATATTGACTATCTAGAAAGTACTGAAGTGCTATGATTCCATTAGCTCAAGACCATGAGTAAAAATATGCTGCTGCATTCCAAATAAACTGCAAATTATAGAGGAGCTCTGTTGAAAGCCATACTCCAAGGGGAATGGAATGACAATAAGCTAAACTCATAATCAGGAGGGCAAGTGTTGCTGTGGTAAGGTTGTCATCAAATAAACAAGGGCTGAACCTACTCAACTTGCATAACTAGAAAAAAAAATTTTTTTGAACCACATCCAACATGCTCTTTGTGCCATTGAAAAGGCGCAGTCAGAAGTAATACCAACATTTGTAACCTGACTCATTACCTCCAAACAAATCCCTGCAGTAATCAACAACATGATGCAAAAGAGCCTTTTCATAACAAGTCTCTACACAGCAGCAGGATTTCTGGGTTCTATAAGGTTCACAGTGACTCAGCAAGCTGGTACTCTTCATGGGGACTGCATATTGTGTATCAGACTTTAAACTGTTTAGCAAAAATAAGTCTCTAGGTCTTATGATCGCAGAGAAAACTCCCAATTTAAACCAAGATAGTAAAATCTATCTGAGTATGCAGCCAGGCTGAAACATTAATTGCAAGAGAGGTGTGAGCTGTCCTACCAAGTAGCAAGACCTATCATTTCAAAGGAGTTAATTATGAACCCTGGTGATGACATTTTAAATGTCAACATGAGCTATTTCACTGCTAATCAAAGTGCTCAAGAAACATGCTCATATAATACAGAACTGCACAATCTTATTTTTGCATCTCAAGTGGGTGTTATTTGGGAACCTACTTTTTCCCCTCAAGTCTGATCCCTGTTCATGTATACATTGAATTAACAAAGTGAGAGAAATCTCTGAGAAATGCTGCAGTTTGGTCACTTCATAGTGATGACAATTGTTCATTAACACCAACTGACTGGTATCTAAGGTTTAATGTGAACCATACTGAAGGGCAATTCCAGACACATCAGCAACATCCTTTTGTCACCAAACCAGCAATCTATGGTCAGTTGTATGAAAAGCTGCTGTGAGAACCAGCATGACCTAAATTACCTATTGATCTTGATATAAAACCCTCATGGAAGATCATTCATCACATGGCCAAGCACAGGCTCAAGTCCAAACGCGCAAATCTCATACTGGAATCTCTGCAGGATGCCATTGGTGTCAAGTGCATGTAGAATTGAGGGTAAAAATCTTCAAAAGGGGACACACATTTGTGCGTGCAAAGACTTCATGTACAAACTTCCACTGGTACATGCACATGGGAGTCTTTGGATGCCTAATTTGGGCATAGTCAGAGTGCACACGAACTTGCAAAGTTTGGTCATTTTATAGCCATTGTCCTGATCTCCAGAATGGAATATTTGAAACTCTGGTACAGGAACTCCTCACTTAAAGTCGTCCCGGTTAACGTTGTTTCGATGTTAAGTTGCTGATCAATTAGGGATCATGCTCGTTTAAAGTTGTGAAATGCTCCCTTCTAACGTCGTTTGGCAGCCGCCTGTTTTAACTCCCACAGCTTATTAGGACAGCATAGAAAGAGGGAAAGAAGACGGGCAGGAAAATTTAGCAGTAATACTAAACAAAATGCTTGTAAGTTCTCTTCCAAACTGTTGACATGATGGGTGTGCAGCCATCTGGCTTTTCATGTTTCACTTAGATTGTTATTGAACAATATCTTACATATGCATGTGCTAAAGTAAAAGAACTCCCAAGTTTATAAGTGTTATGGGATTAAGTGGTTCCTCTGACAATATCTATACATATCCTGGTCAAGAAAATGAGAAACAGATAGGTCAGTGATCATCAATTGGTCGATCGCGATCGACTGTTCGATCCTGGAGACTCTCCCAGTCAATCGTGATCTCTGGCTGTGGCAGGGCTGTTGCTAAAGCAGGCTCTCTGCATGCCCCGGCCCCATGCCGCTTCCGGAAGTGCCCAGCATGCCCCTGCAGCCCTGGGGGAGGAGAGGGGCAGGCGTCTCCGCACGCTGCTCCTGCCTGCAAGCACCGGCCCCGCAGTTTCCCATTGGCTAGGAATGGGGAACTGAGGCCAATGGGAGCTGCAGGGGCGGTGCTTGTAGAGAGGAGCAGCACACGGAGCCACGTTGCCCCCCCACCCGGGGGCACGTTGGCCCATTCCGGGAGCGGTGTGGGGCTGGAGCAGGCAGGGAGTATGCCTTAGCCCTGCTGCACCGCCAACCAGGAGCCACTCGTGGTAAGTACCGCCCGGCGGGATCCCGCACCCCAGCCCTGAGCCCCCTCCTGGAGCCAGCACCCCAAAGCCCCTCCTGCACCCCAAGCCCTTGCCCCAGCCTATACCCCCCTCCCAGAGACCGCACCCCACACCCCCTCCTGCATCCCAACACTCTGCCACAACTCGGAGCCCCCTCCTGCACCCAAACTCCATCCCAGAGCTTGCACCCCCTCCTGCACCTCAACACTGCCCCAGGCTCAGCCCGGAGCCCCCTCCCACACTGTGAACCCCTTGGTCCCAGCCCGGTGAAAGTGAGTGAGGATGGAGGAGAGCGAGCGACGGAGAGAGGGGGGATGGAGTGAGCGGGGCAGGGCCTCGAGGAAAGGGTGGGGTAGATCCTGGGTTGCACTTAAATCAAAAAGTGATCTTGTGTGTAAAAAGGTTGGAGACCACTGAGATAGGTGAAGTGGAATGACAAAGGAAACATTTGGAGTCTACTGCAGAGGTGTATGCAATAGCCAAAGTGTCACGAGATTTTCAAAATATAAGACAAGCTTTTTATTCTAATCTTTATAAATCAGGCATACAGCTATATTGAAGACATGCAGTTACACCACTATAAAACCAGTGTAAGTGAGATCAGAACTGGGTTCTGTGTGTTATGAAGAATTCTCTTCAGAAATCAGTAAGTTAAACATTTATTGAAAACAAGCTCTGTTGTTGGGAGAGAAAGGTCAGTTCTGGTTGATTAAACATTACTGAATGAGTGCACTTCTATATAACCCCCCCCACAATGTTGTTTGGGAACAGATGGTGGTTCAGCCAACTGTGGCCATTAGGAAGAGTTGTACCTTTACTATCATATACATTTTGACAGGTTTCTATGCCTCCTCTTTTCTTTATATCCCTCCCCTACGTCTCATTTTTGGACATGTGCATTTTTTGCGCCATTTTGGAAAAAAAATATTTTGTACATTTAGACTT